CAGGGGCGGGGGCCTGGGCCGGGCTCGGGATGGCGCAGCCGCGGCCCCCAGCGCTCCCCGGCCGTCCTCGGAGGGGCTCACTGCCTGCTGGGGCCGCCTGGCAGGTGAGGACCAAGGCAGGGGCGGCCTGGCGGATAGGGGACCCCGGGGCCCGCTCGGCCCGACGTCCCCGGAGCCCGGCAGTCTGTGTCCCAGCCAGCGTGCGAGGCTCCGTCACAGTGGGTGTGTGCGCTTCTGGGCTGACACCCTGCCACAGGACGCACCCAAGCCCCCTGGGCACTTTTCCACAGCTGCTTGTAGGACAGACGTGGGGACACTGTAGTCGTGGGCTGCAGTGACATTGGGTGTGTACTGCTGCTGGAACCACCTACCACCTTCCCTGCATGGATGGGGCACCCATGCCGCAGTGTGACTTTGGGCTGGTGCTCCCCTGAGTTGGGATGCCCAGCTTCTGGCCACATCATTCTCTCTGCCTTCCTTCGCCATGTGTCAGGGCGTCTACAGCTGGCTGGAACTGTGGGTGTTACTTGTTGCTGTGTGTGTACACTCTGGGTGACATTACCATGTGTCAGTGTTTATGTGGCTGTGATTCTCCGTGTAGCAGAGAGTAGTGTTTCATTGTGCCTGGCTGTTTGGTTATCCTGAGTGAGGGTCCCCCCCCCATTGCCGGGTCTCACTGGAACTTGGTAGGTCAGAGGCTGTCTGGCTGACCCTGAACAGATGGCGGTGTTGTTGTGACACTGTGTGTCGAGTTGACAGGTGTGTTTGTCTTCCTGGACTACAGGTGTGTATCTGCCCTATCTACCAAAATGCCAGTAGGATCAGTCCTTCCAAATTCAGAGGTGTTGGGTATGGCCACAGGTGACCATGGAACAGGGGCTCCTGGGGACTGCTGAAAGTGGACTTTACCAGCCTAGGTCTTGTTCTGTGGGCAGGCTTCATATTGTGCCCTGTGCTAAGGGGCTTAGGCTTCCAGACTTTCATGCTGTGGGGGTGGTGGGTGATGGGTGGTGGGTGGACCCCACGGGGAATAACAGCTCCTGGAGTTACTTGATGCCTTTTCCCTTTCCAGAACTCATGATTACACTGTGGGATGTTGTCTTGGGTTCTTTGCACAGTGTCTGATCCTGGTGGGGAGGGGGTGGCACTGGCGGTCAAGGCTCTCTTTCTCTGAACACCTGGCTGTCACTTCATGGATTTAGGTGGAAGATTGACTTTGTGTTTGTGTAGCATTGTGTGCAGTTACTGGGGTGCAGGCCTGCATAGGTGTGAGTTTGCATTTGTGTGTACCTGAACATGGTTCTGTGTGTGTTTGAGTATTTATGTGTTAGCCTATGTCTCTAAGAATTACTGTGCATAGACCCCATATGGATTCGTGGGTGTATGTGCGCATCTGCGCATGTGTTTCTTGATACAAAAGGTATGCCCAGTACAGTGAAATGGTTCAAGTACTGGTGTACAAGCCTCTGTGTGTGTATGTGTGTGTGTGTGTGTGTGTGTGTGTGTGTGTGTGTGTGTGTATGAGACGGGGGAAAGAGAATGTGTGTGTTTCTGGCACACAACCTCAACACATGTGCTTGTGCCCCTCCTGGGCAACAGTAACTGCCCAAGTTGAATCTTGGAAGGGCTGGGGGAGAGGCTGTTCCTGGAGACTCTGGGGGTTTCCCAGGCCTGGCCCAGAACCCTCCAGCCACTAGCCGCTAGCCATCAGGGAAGGCCCGTAGGGGTTGATGATGGAGAAGCCTTGCTTCCAAGCAGCTGGTGGACCCTGTTTTAACTGTGTGTGTGCTCTAGTTAGTCTAGGACAGGCTGGCTCAGGTATGAGGAATTGCATAGGAACTCACAGGTAGAGGGCCAGTAGTAACCCAACATCCCCCAAGAGTCCCCAGTCCATACTGCTTGTGGGAGGGTTATCTGACCTGGGCTTTGGTGAGCTGGCCCTCTTCTGGAGAGACTGGTGGAACCCACACCCCTCTCATGCCTGGTGGGGCTTGACTCTAGGACTGGGCCCTGGGACACTCAGGGGTCCATGTGCTGATCCTGGCATGGATATCCTTGCATTGGCATAAGGGAAGCTGTCTCTCTCCCCTTGGGTAGCAACCTCCTCCCTTATAGAAGTAAACTGAGTGGGGTATCTGCCTGAGACCCGAGACCTGGGTGCTGGACTCACCTCACTTGGCTGTTGGCCAAACTCTTGGGGTTAGCTGCAGAAAGCTTTCTCCCATGAAGGCCCTCTTCTACTCCCTCTTTCTGGTGAGAGAACCAGAATTGTTGGGATATGTAGAGCCCCAACATCCAGGGGCTTGATGGCATCAACTGGGCTCCCCTCAGGACTGACCTCCCTCTCCCATCTCTGTTGCAGAACACAGATCTGTTTGAGATGATTGAAAAGATGCAGGTGAGGATGGGCAGGAGAGCCCCAGAGTTGACTGGTTTAGAGGTGGGGGGGGCGCTTTTTCTGGAGCCCAGGCATTCACCCAGACTCCCAGCTCCAGTCCCTGTGTTGGTCCCCAGCAGATTACCCCTGTATGCATACCCCAGCCCCAGCCCATCAGAGGCCTGGCAGGCTCCTCTGTAGGAACCTCATGCAGAATGGAGGAGTGGATAGATGCAGGTGGGGGAGGCATTAATAGCCAGGCAGCCTGGGACACAGCCCTGCCCTGTGCCTCACCCCTGTTCACCCTCTGCCTGCCAGCCTGATGTGTTTGTAGCAGGGGTATGTGTCAGGAGAGGGGTAGAGAAGTGATGGAGTCCTGGTGGGGTGGGAGTGGTTGGAAGAAACCTCAAGAACTTCCCTGATGTCAACTCACCCTCGATAGGCCTGGCTCCGGCTCCTCCTGTTTCTCTGACTCTGTTTTCCCTGTTTGCCTCCTCCCTCTTTACATATCTGTTGATGCAGTGGCCTCCTGCATGCGTATACACACACACACACACACACACACACACACACACACACTCACACAAATGCCTGCGTACACCACCCTGCCCCCTACCTCCCAGCAGCACGTGTGTTCTGGCACAGAGCCCCCAGCCCCTCCCTGTTGCTATACCCTCCCTCAGCCCATCACCACGGGGATGCCAGAGGCCTGAGCAATGAACCAGTCAGAACCCTCCCCTGCAAGTGCCCCCACATACCTAGTGCCTCCTAGGGCCTTCCCTTCAGCCCAGGGAAGGCGCCTGGCAGAGGCTTGGCAGGAGAGTAACAGTGTGCCTTCTCCCTTCTCTTGCAGCGAAGCAGGATGGATGAACAACGATGTACCTTCCCACCACCCCTCAAAGTAGGTGGGCCAGACCTGCCTCTGGGGCCGGCCAACTCCCTGCCAGGTTGGGTAGGGTCTAGGAAGGGTGCCCCAGCTGTCACCGTGTGCCAGTTATTGCTTCCTGGGTTAGCAGGGTACCCAGCCCTGGGAGCTCTGTATCCTGTAGCCTTGCCCTGGCCGGAGGTTTCAGGCCTGCTCCTCTCTCCTGCTTAGATCACTGTAGGCATCTGCCTCTCCAGGCCACCTCATACCAAGGCTGAAGCCCTTATTACTTACTCCAGAGGCAGCTGCCATCAAATGTTTTCTCTGAAACCCTGAGGCAGCAGTCTGTCTGAGCAAGTCCTCCAGGAGGCCCGGAGGTTTCCTTAGGGGAGACAGAGAGCCTCCCTTCCCCAGGCAGAAAGAGCCCAAAGGTTTGAGACTCAGTGAGCCTCAAGGCAAGCTCCTGCCATATCTGTAAGATGTGGCGACAAGGCCCCAGTCCAGGCACACGCTCAGCCAGGGCATGGAGTAGCAGTGTGTTCTCTGAGCCCCCAGGGGTGGGGGAAGGTATGTGTGTGAAGGGTAAGGCCCCACCGCAGCTGGGCCTCAGTTTCTTTGTTTTGCAGACAGAGGAAGACTACATTCCCTACCCGAGTGTCCATGAGGTACCAGCTGGAGCCCCACACTCACCCTCACTGTGACTCTGGGAGGCCCTCGTTGCAGTGTATCTGCCCCACTGGAGACTCACTTTCCAGTCCCGAGACTTCAGATGCTATTTGAACCCTAGGCCTCTGAGCCACATGTTCTTGCCCTTAACTTGGGGGTCACCCTCCCAGCTTCCACCTGCTCCACCCCATCCTTTGCGTAGGGCTTGGTATTACCCCCATCTGTGAGGTAAGGATCCTGAGCCGGTTCCTTAGAGCGGTGGGTAAGAACCCCTACCTGGTAACCCCTGGTCTGAATTGAGAGGATGTCCTAGGACCCTTAGTAGGGTGCTGTGTGGGGTTGCTCTCAGCTGAGTCTCCCTCTAGGTCCTGGGGCGAGAAGGGCCCTTCCCCCTTATCCTGCTGCCCCAGTTTGGAGGCTACTGGATTGAAGGCACCAACCATGAACTCACCAGCATCCCCGAGACAGAGCCTCTTCAGTCACCCACCACCAAGGTGAAACTGGAGTGCAACCCCACAGCTCGCATCTACCGGAAGCACTTTCTGGGCAAGGTAGGTGACTGGCCAGAGTGGGAGGCTGGGCCCAGGGAGAAGCAAAGGGGTTAGACTGGGGCTGGGTGACCATTCCTGAGCTCTGAGTCTCACGGAACATCCATATGGATTCATTCATTCACTCAACAAACATTTGTTGCAAAAGAATGTACTTGGGGCTGGAGAAATGGCTCAGCAGTTAAGAGCACTGGCTACTCTTGCAGAGGAGCCGGGTTTGATTCCCAGCACCTACATGGTGGCTAACAACCATCTGTATCTCTAGTTCCAGGGGATCCAATGCCCTCTTCTGACCTCTGAGGGCTCTATAGGCATACCTACCTACATGCAGGCAATACACTCATACACACAAAATAAGAATAATAAAACATTTAGCAAAAGGTAGTAGAACATGGTTGTTAATAGAAATGGGATGTTGTCAGTGTACCACCAGAATGGGGAGTATCCTGTAGACGCGGAGCCTCTCAGCCTGGGTGCCAATGGTGGCTGCCCCTTCTATTGGTGGTGTTATCTTGGATGCTTTATTTAACCTTCTTGAACTGCTTCCTTGTCTGTAAAAATGGGAGTAATTCAAGTACATGCAAAGCATACGGAACCACACCAGCACATAGTATAAACACAGGTTTGATGATAGCCGCTATCATACCTGCCTAATCCTTCCGTGAGATCTAGACTATCCTGTTTTTACAGAAGAGGAAACTGAAGCTCAGTGAGGTGAAGTGACTTGGTCAAGATCGCAGTTACTGAGCCTGGAACTGAACCAGCTCTTGCTGATCTTTCATTAAGATTTACATAGCCTTGGCCCTGAATCAAGGTCAACAGTTTGCTAAAGCTGTTGGTTTCAAGCTGTTGTCTTTCTGTGGCCTGTTGGCCATTTCAGAAATCTGGAAATGTAGTGGTCAGTTCATTAGAAAGAAACATGTGGCTGAAAAAAAAAGTTAACTAAATGGCTGTTAGGAGGGAGATGTGGTAGGGGATCTCGGGGAGTGTCTTAGCAGGAAGTAGGGGACTGGAAATGATTGAGATACATTGTATACATACACAAAATTTTCAAAGAGTGAATAAAACTTATTTTTAAAAAGAAGAAAAAGATTTACATAGCCAAGCTGGGCATGGTGGCACACTACTTTAATCCCAGCACTCAGGAGCCAGAGACAGGTGGATCTCTGTGAGTTCAAGGCTAGCATGGTCTACATAGCGAGTTCCAGGCCAACTGGGGCTACAGGGAGACCCTGTCTTAAAAAAAAGATTTACATAGCCTAGCTGGGTGTGGTGGTGTATACCTTTAATCCCTGAGCTTGGGAGGCAGAGGCAGGTGGTGTCAGACATGATTAGGACAGAGAAGAGCAGGGCTTCTCCAAGCCTCCGGATGGGGTGGCTAGGGAAGAGGCAGGTGCTTGGTACCAGGTCACAGTAAGAGATGAAGATGACTTTGAATGACAATTTCCTGAATTCCTGAGTCCATCTTGCACTGTGTCTCTAAGACTTTTCTGCGTTTGGTGGGGGGGACATTCCAGGAACCTCCCCCCACACCCCACCCCCTGACTTCCTGGCAAAGTGCCTGCTACTCTTCTGTGGACAGTGTCAGGCATTTGGGATTTTCACAGTATACCTAGCTCCACTCAGAGGCCTGTGAACTGCAGATTGGAGGCCACATCCCCCCAGCCCTGCCTCTTCTCTGCCCTGACTCCCAGGGCAGGTGTTCATGTTTAAACAAGATTTACTTCCAGGATGATTCTTGGGGTGGGTGTGGCTGGAGCCACTCCACACTCCACTCCTAGGTCTGGGCGGCAGAGGGAGCCTCGGGCCAGGTGGGGCCACATTCGTGGTCTGGCGATTTTCCCCGAAAAGGTGTCTGGTCTGGGCTCCCATTTGGGGGTGCTGTTCCTGCCACAGCCATCCCTTATGTTCTTTATGCTGTCTTCCTAGCCCTGCGCCCTCTTCTCTAGGTGAGACAGAGGGGCAGGAACCTGCCTGGTCAGTCAGGAGATGCTTCACTTCCTGTTTGTCATGGGCCCTGGCTTCAGGGGCCACTGAGCCACAGGTTGGGTAATCAGCTGTTCAGCCCTTTTTCCTTTCAGTGCCTCACACATGATAGTTGACCTCTTCTTCCTTCCTTCCTTCCTTCCTTCCTTCCTTCCTTCCTTCCTTCCTTTAAAAATTAGTTTTTTTGTGTATGAGTGTATTGCCTACATGCATGTAAGTGCACCCATGTCATGTAATGACCAAGGAGATAAGAGGGAATAGGATCCCCTGGAACTGGAGTTATGGATGATTGTCAGCCGCCATGTGGGTACTGGGAATCGAACCCGGGTCCTCTGCAAGAGCAGTCAGTGCTCTTAGCCATTGAGCCATCTTTCCAGCCTTCTTTCTTACTTTCTTCCTCCTTCCTTCCTTCTTCCTTCCCCTCCCTTTGCCTTCTTTCCTTCCTTCCCTTGCTTCCTCCCTTCCTTTTTTGATGAAACAGGGTCTATCTATGTAGCTTAGGCTGGCCTTGAACATAGGATCTTCTGCCTCCGCCTCTTAGTGCTGAAATTACCTGGCTAGTTGGCTTTTTTTTTTTTTTTGAGACCAGGTTTCACTATGTAGACCAGGCTAGCCTTGAACTCAGAGATCTGCCTGTCGCTTCCTCTTGATTAAAGGTATGTGCCACCACACCCAGCCTCTAGTTGACTTATTGAGCACTTGCTGGGTACTTGGGTGCTGGGACACAGGTATGCAGATACACGTGTGACCCTGACTTCCAGAGACAGGGTTCCAACAGGCATTCCTTGAACACCAAGTCTGTGTCAGGTACTTTAGCTCACTCAGTTCACATCAAAAAAGGTGGCCTCATTCCCATTTTATAGACTAGGAAATGGAGGAACAAAGAGACAAGGTGACCTCCTGAGGCTGCCCAGCTGGTAAGGGGCACATAGCGGATGCTGAGCCTGCTGTTGGGCATGGCTTCTGCTTCTTGGTGAGGGACCCCAGGTGGGACTGAGTTGACTGTTTGGGTTTCAGAGCAGCTGCAAGCTCATCCCCTCACCTCCTTCGCTCCCCTGGCCCCTCTCACCACAGGAACACTTCAATTACTACTCAGTGGACACTGCCCTTGGCCACCTGGTCTTCTCGCTCAAGTATGATGTTATCGGGGATCAAGAGCACTTGCGGCTGCTGCTCAGGTGAGGGCAGTGGATGGGGAAGACCCCATGACCGCAGAGAGGACCAAGGTCTAAAAATCCCAGTGCCTAGCTCAGCGATCAAGGTCCTACCCTCCTGATCAGGGCCTCAGAAGAGCAAGAATCTGCCTGAGGTCACACAGCACATTAGTGCTTCAACCAGGCTTGGTGCATGCTGTCACCTTTGGTCTACCTGAAGTCTTCCCGCTGCTCAGCCTCTCACTGCACAGCTCTTCCTCTTAGGACCAAGTGCCGAACATACCATGATGTCATCCCCATCTCCTGCCTCACCGAGTTCCCCAATGTGGTCCAAATGGCAAAGGTGAGGCTGTGGTTCTCCTGCGCTTCTTGGGTCTGGCAATGCCAGGAGCCCTGGGCCTACATGTTTTGGCTGCTTCTGTAGCCCTCCTCTCACCTGGCTCCAGCCTGTGTGCATGCTACCCTGGATGCATGCTGCCCTGTGTGCATGCTGCTCTATGTGCATGCTACCCTGGATGCATGCTGCCCTGTGTGCATGCTGCTCTATGTGCATGCTACCCTGGATGCATGCTGCCCTGTGTGCATGCTGTCCTGGATGCATACTGCCCTATGTGCATGTTGCCCTGGGTGCATGTTACCCTGTGTGCATGCTGCCATGTGTACATACTGCCCTGGGTGCATGCTGCCCTGGGTTGTCCTGGGTACTTGTGTGTGTGTTTCTAGCACTCTTTACTGCACCCTCAGGCCCCAGTTCTCTGAGCCCCATTCTGAGCAGCAGTGAGAGTCCCCAGTCTGGCTCTTGCCTCTGTCGTTCCCAGCATGCCTCCCCTCCCTCTTTCTGCCTCTGTTCTTTCCAAACTTGGTCACCAAGGCCCAGGAAGCCTCTCCTTTCTCCCCGCTCCCACCTCTCACCCCTCCTGTCTTCTACAGCTGGTATGTGAAGATGTCAACGTGGATCGATTCTACCCTGTGCTCTACCCCAAGGTATAGGATCTAGCCTGCTCACTGAAGGGGGTGGCAGCTGGAGGAGTGAGCATTTATTGGCACCTGCCGTGTGCTGGGTATCTCCCCAAGTTCTTGTTGGTCCCTGGAAAGCATGCAGAGTCCACAGTGTGCATATGGGGGAGCACAGAAAGATTCTGTGCTCACCTAAGGATGCATAGTATGTAAGGTGGGCCTGTCTGGAGGCTTGCTCACATCTGGACTGTCTCAATGCTAGTAGGGTAGTGTAGCCTGTGTTCCAGGCCCCACTGGAACATGTTTCTTTTCTACTGGCCTTGCCTTCTCCCAGGGGACATTGGGAGACAGAATAACACTGACACCCCATAAGCGCTGTTCCCACAGCAGCTGCAGTCCCAGTTGTGGCACTGCCTTCTGGTTCTAGTAGCTGTGCCCATGTAGGAGTAAGCTCAGGGACTTCTGTCTTCTTTGAAGAGCCTTGGGGGTTCTGGGTGGATTCTGGATCAGGTTGAGGTCCTAAAGCATCCTGTGGACGTGGGAAGGTACCCTGAAGGAGGGGGCCTTAGAAATCAAATCTTAACCTCTTGGTTGCAGTAGGAGAAATTGAGACTCAAACTGGTGGCAGCAAGCTGGGACTTGGTTTATCTAGAAGGATAAGGAGGCTTGCAGAGGCACCAGGGAGTGAGCTGGGCATTGCACAGTGGATTAGGGTGACCTTGGCCGTGGTAGGTAGGGCTCATGGCAGAACTCAGGAATCCAACAGATCCAGGGCCCTCACATGTCTGCAGACTGCTGACCTAGGCAAGCTCCTGACACTCTCTGAAAGCAAGGAGCAGGGAGAAAGTGGGATCTCTTCCTGTGGGCTTCCTTTGGGACTGACATGTGCCTAGCACAGTGCAGGGCACAGGGGGAGCACAGAGGCCCCTAGCTCACACCATTCCATGCTCTCTTCAGGCTTCCCGACTCATTGTCACCTTTGATGAGCATGTTATCAGCAATAACTTCAAATTTGGAGTCATTTATCAGAAGCTTGGGCAGGTGTGTTTATCCCCTCCCCCTCCCCCTCCCCCATGCTGCCTGTTCACCTCACTTTCCCCAGAGCCTGGGAACTTGCCTCTCTGGGAGGAAGTGGGACTTGGGGAGGGCTGCTCCGGAGCTCCAGTTCCATGATTGTGCGTCCCTGTGGCTCCCAGACCTCTGAGGAAGAACTCTTTGGCACCAATGAGGAAAGTCCTGCATTCGTGGAGTTCCTCGAGTTTCTGGGCCAGAAAGTCAAACTGCAGGACTTCAAGGGGTGAGTACCAGGGTAAGGCGAAGAGAGCTGACCATGCCTCTGGGCAGGGAGGGAGCCCTGGTCCTGGCCCCTCAGAGGCCTAGCTGAAAGTAGAGACTGAGCCATGGCCTGGGGGGGGCCTGGGGGCAGGTTCCGAGGAGGCCTGGATGTGACCCATGGGCAGACGGGGACCGAGTCTGTGTACTGCAACTTCCGCAACAAGGAGATCATGTTTCACGTGTCCACCAAGCTGCCCTACACAGAAGGGGACGCCCAGCAGGTAGACTGGGCGCCCATCCACCTGCTTTCCACTGTCACTTGTGTCCCCATCCATCTGTCTGTTCAGTGTCCATCACACCAGGGTCAGTTTTGGCACTGGGATGTAGACATGGAAATGACCCAGTTCCTCCAGGGTGGGCTGTAGGTGGGACAGGGGAGAGAGGAAAGTGTCTATGAAGTAGGCATCTACATGGTGAGTTTTTCTTTTTACGTATCTATTTTATGTGTGTGAGTGTTGTGCCTGCATATATGTAAGTGCACCTGTGTTGTGCTATGCCAGCGGAGGCCAGAAAAGGGTGTAGGATCCCCTGGAACTGAAGTTATGGATGGTTGTTAGCTGCTGTGTGGGTGCTGTGTGAGTGCTCTTAACCACTGAGCTATCTCTCCAGTTCCGTAGGTGAGTTTAAAGAGGGGGGATGTGACTATATCACATGCACCAAGCAGCAATCCCTGATGAGCTAGTATTTTTGATGGCAAGCGAGGGGCATGGTGGGGTCATGTGAGGGCCCTGACACTTGGCAGAGTGAAAGTCAGTGAGAGCTTTCAAGATGAAATAATGGGCTTCCAAGTTTTGGGGGGAAGGAAGTGGGGTGCTCCAGATAGGAAGAAAGGCGGGGGAACTGGCATGTTCTCAGTACTAAATTCAAAATTTGGTCACCTTGTTTCTAGCTTTCCCATCAGACGTCTGTCTTACCCTGCTCCCCTAAGCTGGGGTGCTAAAAGGGAATTAGATGATGGAAATACATATTATTCTTACTTCTTTTCTCTTTGATTTGCATGAGATCTGTTTCTTTTAGCACCATCAATGTGTACTAAGTAGAACATCTTTGTTCAATGAAGTTGAGGGTCTTGACAGAGGAAGGGCTGAGAGGCAGGGCTTGGAGATTGAGACCTGACTGAAAGTACCTGAGTCCGTTGGAAGATCTTGTAAATCAGTCTTCTCTTGGCTTCAGTTTTCTCATCTGTCAGAGGTTTCCAAGGAAACTAAATTAATTTTAAGACAAGCTTTCACATTTTGGGGTAGGTAGGGAACAAATCCTTAGATGTTCTCTCTGCTTGCTTCATCCTATCCTGCACCCTGTGGGCACCCCTGCCCCACATGGCCAGGCTGTGAAGGCCCGTGGCCCTGTGCTCAGTTGCAGCGGAAGCGGCATATTGGGAACGACATTGTGGCTGTGGTCTTCCAGGATGAGAACACACCCTTCGTGCCTGACATGATCGCATCCAACTTCCTGCACGCCTACGTGGTGGTGCAGGCTGAGGGGGGTGGCCCCGATGGCCCCCTCTACAAGGTGGGTGAGCCAGGGTCTCCCAGGGTTCTGCCTCTGATGCCTCTGATGTAAGTGGAGGCTTATGGGGGCCTCTGAGGAGGGAAGACTCTCATTTCCTCATAGAGGCCACTTACCCTCTACCATGAGGACGGTCCCCCACCAGCCCTACCTTGCAAACTTAGGGCAGAGGCTGGGGGATCTGAAATTTTGGGTTGAAAGGTCCCTCCACTCAGCAGTCCCAGAGCCTCCCCAAACCCACCATATGGGAGTTGATTTAAGGGTTTCAGGCTGCTATTGGGGAGAGTAGGCCCTGGACCCCACAGAGACAGCTGTTTTTCCTTTCAGGTCTCAGTCACTGCAAGAGATGATGTGCCCTTCTTTGGGCCCCCGCTCCCGGACCCTGCTGTGTTCAGGAAGGTAAGAGGTAGTCCTCCTTCCTCTGTTGGCAGAGCAGGACTAAGTGGAAGAGGGCTGAGGGTTCCCAGTCCTTTCTCAGGAGGACCTGAAGCCCTGCCACGTACTGGGGACCGGGCTTCCTAACCGTGTAGCAGTGTAGCTGGGGCCTGGCTTTTCTCTTTCTTTTTGTCTTGCTCAATGCTGTGACTTATTTTACAAGGTCACAAAAGAGACTGCAGGACTGTTCTACATTTTCCCGAGCTGACTGTGGCCTTTCATTTCTCCTCTCTTTGGCAGTTAGTCTTTCCTCTGAAATGTTTGGGGAGGGGCACATATCCCTCCCAGACTCTCAGTAGCCACATGTGCCTCCCCCTCCCTGCATGTTCTGCTTTGACCCAGGTGGTAGGAGATGGCATCCCAGAGCCCAATACCCCAACACCTGCAGGCTTTGCCTTCCTCGTGGGGGGTGGGGGTGGCCATCAGGGGTACAGGTGCCTGGCTAGAGAATGGAGCCCCAGGAGAAGCCCTGGTATGGGTGAGGCCTGGGACCCCAGGCCCCAGCAGGGCACAGCCCAGGAGTTCCAGCCCTTCTCACCCAGCTCAGCTCCTTGCTCCAGTGTTTGTCCAACCTTTCTCATCTCTTCCACCCTGGGTGCTCCCAGGGGCCTGAGTTTCAGGAATTTCTGCTGACGAAGCTGATCAATGCCGAGTATGCTTGCTACAAAGCTGAGAAGTTTGCCAAGCTGGAGGTAAGCATGGGCTGGAGGGAGAGGAAGCAGTGGGGAGTACCCAGGAGGACTGGGAGGTGGACGGCACCATACAGGAAGCCAGGACTGGAAGCAGAGCTAGGCAGTGAGGATGTGAAACTGGTCTTAGAGTAACCATGAGGAACCCTGGGTTCCTCTTGACCGACAGAGTGGCTGCAGGGAAGCCAGTGCAGGCTCCCAGGGGCGCCCATGCCCTACTTGCGGAAAGTGTGCCAGGATTCAAATTGTGGGTCCAAGGGCTGATCTCTGGGGTCTCCTCTGGTGGCTGGCCCATAGGAGCGGACCAGAGCTGCCCTTCTGGAAACACTCTATGAAGAACTCCACATCCACAGCCAGTCCATGATGGGCCTGGGTGGTGATGAAGACAAGATGGAGAACGGCGGTGGTGGTGGCGGCTTCTTTGAGTCTTTCAAGGTGAATGGCCCAGGGGTCTACCCTGGCAGGATGGGACTTGGGTGGGTTGGGCCTAAAGGACATGGAGTGTGATAACTCAGTTGTGTGTAGAGTTTGGGCCAGGGCTCAAGGTCTTGGTTCTGGAGGTATGGCTAGAGGCCAGGCCTGGGGATGTGACTAGAAGTGGGGCCTGAGGTATGGCTTATGGTTCAGCCAAGGAGGCATGGCAGAGCTGATGGTCTTAGTCCTGGTGATGTGGTGAGAGGTGGGGTCTGGCTGTGGGGGGTCATAGTCTCATTGTGGAAATGTGCCTAGGGTTGGGGACACGGCTTGGTGGACACAAGCTTTTAGGTACTTTAGCCTTGGAAATGTGGTTTGTGTTTGGGGTTGTTTGAACCAGGGAGAGGCATACAGAAGAGGCTCTGGACAGGGGAGGAGGACAAACTCTCTGGAGGGGGTGCCTAGGCTCAGGAGAGGGTCCACCTGGGAATTACACCAAAGGTTGGAGTCTCCCAGGTGGCAGCAAGGGACTGCTGGTGCCATGGACTGTGACTCTCAGGTTGGCAGGCAGAGAAGAGAGGAGGTGGCCTGTCCTGACGAAGGGGAAGAAACAGAGGTGCAGTAGTGAGGGTCTGCCTCTGCCACTTTGTAATTTAGCTAAGAGCACAGACTCCCTGGGTTTACATCCCAGGTCTGCCAGTGATCAGGTTGGGCATTCTCTGAACCACAGTTTCTTTATCTGTTGAGCAGAGTAATGGGGATCATGGTAGCTTACCTCGTACAAGTGTTTCAGAGTTATTTGCAAAGCAGTTACATTAGTGCAATATGGATGCAAAACTGCCTTTGCCTGCCTGTCTGCCCAAGCAAGGGACAGTCCAGGGATAGGCAGAGGAGGAAGAATTCTGCCTCCCCTTAGTTGGGGCCTGGACTCACCCAGCTGCAGGGCCCCAGGTAGTAGATGTTCTGTTCTGATCGTTCACCCACAATAGACGGCCTCAGCCACAGTGTAGCAGTGGGTTTGTTTATATAGGGGGATTAGTCCAGTGGCCCACAATGGACATCAAGAAAGAGGTATAGAGAGCTCTGGCCCATGGCCTGAACACAGGTCTGTAGTGCTGTCTTTAGTGGGGGCTTCAGGGGCCTCATATCTGGTTGGTGCCACGTGGCATCCTGGATTAAGCCAAAGGGTGTCTCTGAGGCATCAGGGTCTGCCGGGAAGATGTAGGATTTGGCCTATGGCTCCAGGCTCACCTCAGCCTCAATTTCCTCTGAGGTTAGGTGAGTATGGCAGTCCCTCCTTGGATGGCAGAGTAAGTGTCCAGGGCCTGGTTCCTGAGGAAGCATTTGGCCTAGAGATGGCAGGAAAGAGGGGAAAGAAAGGGAACTCATAGATGTACATACAAGATTCCTGGAGGACTCTCTATGAACACACATGTCCCATGTGAATACTCACCATTGCCTGCCATCCTTACAACATCCATATGAGGTACAGCACACAGCCCATATGGCTAGCAGCTCAGAGAGATGAAGGTACATGCCCAAGGCCACACAGCAAGGTGGTGAGGCATCCAAGGCTATGATATCCTTAGGCCTATGATACCTGCCTCTTCTGTGTCATGTAGGGAAACTGATGCCTCACAAGGGAGTGAGACCTCCTAGGGTCACCCAGAGTGGTATTAGTGGGGAGGGACAAGATTCCTGGGCCTCTGGGGTTCCTCAAGGTTGAGAGGCCTCAGGAAGCCAATGTCTCCTCCATCCTTACTCCAACCCCCACAGCGGGTCATCCGGAGCCGTAGCCAGTCCATGGACGCCATGGGACTAAGCAACAAGAAGCCCAACACTGTGTCTACCAGCCACAGTGGGAGTTTCACCCCCAACAACCCCGATCTGGCCAAGGCAGCTGGAATAGTGAGTGTCCCCCACTTCCCAAGCCCTTCCCCCGGGACCCTTGGTGCTCTTGCCTCCTAAGGCCTTGCATCAGTGCCCTGATGTCCATGTACCCACCCTGGCTGCTGGACTCACTGTAGCTCCTGCTTTCCATGGTCACATGGTCCAGTCAGGCCACCAGGGTACTGGGATCCTTCAATCCCTTTCCCAGCCCTCCTGGCCCTTTATTTGGGTATGACTTCTTGTAGCCTCTGTGTCACATTCCTTACCAAATACCTGCTGTCTGTTGTGTGCTGGGAACTGGGCTGTTTTGTGGGCATCTATGTTCAAGCTTTGGGTTTCCAGATGCTCCTCTATATGTCAGGCTGTGGGCATCCATTGTATGCCAGGACCTGGGCTGCTGTGTGGACATGGCACTTTGTCCTGAGTTCTTGTGAGCACCTACTGTGTGCCCAACCTTTGACTGCTGTGTGATCACCTACTGTGTGTCAGGAAATGGACTGCTGTGTGGATATAAGCACCTACTATATGCTTAACCCTGGACTGCTGTTTGAGCACCTACTGTGTGTCAGGAAATGGACTGCTATGTGGGCATCAACTCTGTACACATCTACTGTGTGTTAAACCCTGATAATCCAGGGACATCTGCTGTCTGTTAGGAAGCGTGTTGCTATATGGACATTTCCTGTATGGCACAGTGTGTCTGAAACTGGGCTGCTGTGTGGGCTTCTCCTGACTGAACCCCTTCTGTATGCTTACTGACTTGTCTACCAGGCCCTGTGGGAGTCTGCCTACCACACTCAGTGAGTTCAGTAGGCAGAGTTCAGTAGGCCTACATGATTCAGCTGCTTTGCACCACCTAGTGGCTACATCAAGCACTGCACCCATTGCTCTGCCCCACCCATTCACCCTCACATCCACCCACTAAACTACTCACTCATACATCCATCTATCCATCTGTGCATCCATTCACTCGTCCACTCATCTACCCATCCATCCAACCATCCATCTATCCATTCACCCATCCACCCTATCTATCCATCCACGCATACACTCATCTACTACTCATCCAACTATCCATCCATCTGTCCATCTACCCATCTGTTCATCCACCCACCTACCCATCTACCCACTCATCTACTCTTTTAGCTATCCATGCATCCATCCATTCATCTATCCATGCACCCACTCATTCATCTACTCATCTATCCATCCATGCATGCATCCATCCATCCACACTCACCCATTCATCTACTCACCCAATCATGCATGCATCCATCTGGCCTTTCATATACTCATCCATCCATCCATCCATCCACTCATCCATCCGTTTATCCACCACCCACTCATCTATACCCACAATCATACATCTATCCATTCATTCATCTACCATCCATCCATCCATAATCCATTCATCCATCCATCCACCCACACATTACCCATTCATCTACTCATCCAATCATGCATGCATCCACCCATTCATCTATTCATCCATCCATTCACCCACCTACCCACCCATCTTTCTTTTACTATCTGCTGCATGCCAAGGCCTGTGCTTAGTGCTATGAGGCTGTGTCATGTGGCAGGAGTCTCCCCACCCCCACCATCTCTCGTGTGGTCTGGTCTGGCCAGGGGAGCAAGGTGAGGCCTCTGCTGTCCAGTGGTCACCAAGTCCATTGTTGTCTAGGAGCTGACTCAACTTCCCCCCTAGCTCACATTCTCAGTCACTCCCTTCCTCCCTATGGAGTGGCCCAGCCTCCTGTGGGTGGCTGTGGAGGGGCCCCGGGGTCAGGGCCAGGCCAGCAGCACCCACCATGGCAGTAACCAGACCCATTTCTTTTTTTGTTTTTGCACAACTATCTCTCTCTCTCTCTCTCTCTGTCTCTCTCTCTCTCTCTCTCTCTCTCTCTCTCTCTCTCTCTCTCCATGTGGCCTCCTTTTCTTACACTCTTTTGTTACCTCATCTTTTTCTGCCTTGCCCATCTCTCTTTCCTCCTCTTACCCCACCTGCTTGCTCACCTCTCCTCTTCTCATTGCTTCCTCTTGCTTTCTTGACCCCCTTTCTTTCTACCTTCCAAACTTCACACTCTGGGCCCATCTGTGTCCTGCTGTCACTTGGTTTCTCTCCTCCCCCTCGCTCACCCTCTGCGTAACTATGGTCACTGCCTCCGCTCTGTGCGCCTTCCACACTTCTCCTTTTCCATCCCATTCTCTCCTTTGTTTCTCTCTTTCCCCTTTTCTCTGTACCCCTTCCTTCTGTCTGTCTCTGACTGTCCCTCTCTGCCCCACCCTCTACTGCTCGCCAGTCATTGCTTATTCCCGGGAAAAGCGCGAGTAGATTCGGACGCCGGGGCAGCGCCTTAGGCATAGGAGCTGTGGAAGAGGTTGTCGTCCTGTCTGCAGGCTGCGGCTCTGGAGCTGCCTGCACGCACTGCTCTCTGCTCGCTCTCAGGACGGAGGCCATATTGGGGACGTTGCCCCCTTCCCGGGACAGACCCAAGGGTGTGCAGGGCAGAGTGCCATAGCTCTGATGGCACTGGGACCTGGGCCAGAGGATCCCAACCCTCACTAGAGGTCTCTGGCCCTCTCCTGACCCCTGGAACCCTGGCTGGGTCCTTGCCGGGATCTGGTACTCAAAGACCCTCTGCCCAGCTGCACGTCCCCCAATATTGCTGGTTCTGCATGAAGCACCATTCTCCCCTCTCCCTGCGTCCCCTCCCCACGGCACCATGAACTGCCTGCAGATCCTGTCCCTCCCTCCATGCCTCTAGGAGGCCTACTTCTGCCTCCCCATGCTTCTGGTCCCAGGCATCCCACCATGGTGTGTGTGAAGGGGATGTGCCCACTGTGGACAGAGCCTCCCCAGCTAGTCTGAAGGTCTGAGGGTGCAGGTAGCTGGGCAGGGGCTGGGGTTGCTGCTTTGCTTTCTCTAGGCTTCAGTTCCCATGAGGCCCAGGGGTGAGAGGGGTGGCCACCCATGGACTTGTCCTCCTTCTTCCTGACCCCTGTGACTACCTCCTGCCCTTCTCCTGGACTAAGGTCCAGCATAGCCCTGCTGTGTGTTCTCTGGAGCAGCGCTGACCCTCTCTGGGCCTGTCCATTCATCAGGCAGCCCTGCAGAATGCACATTTTCTTTCCTCTTCTCTTGCTCATCATCTGTCAGCTTCAAGGCGCGGTGGCAGGGCCCCAAGGGGAGGTGGGGGGCACTGGGGCTCACAGGGCAGGTGGACACTGAGTTGGGGCCTCTCCCCACAGTCCCTGATTGTCCCTGGGAAGAGCCCCACAAGGAAGAAGTCAGGCCCATTTGGCTCTCGCCGCAGTAGCGCCATTGGCATTGAGAACATCCAGGAGGTGCAGGAGAAGAGGTGGGTGAGCAGGAGGGAGGACATCTGGTCTGTGAGGGTGCCTTCCCTGCCCTTCCCTCCCCCGCCTCTCATTCCCCTACAGTGACAGCCACCACCTAACAGGCAACGCTTCTGTTCACTAAGCAGCTGCCCTGGCACCTTGCAGATCAAGACACAGTAGGTCCAAGGGGTCGGGGGCTTTCCCAGTTCAAACTACCAGCAAGGACAGAGCTGGGAGAGGGGTCTTTGAGTTCCTGTGGGTGGGGCTGAGCCAGGAAAGCAGACAGGAGGTTGTGAGGGTGAATCCTACACTGTGGCTGAGCAGCCTTGGCAAGTCATGTACCTCTCTGAGACTCATCACCAACTGGAGAAAGTGAGATGGGAAAACAGCTAGTGGCCTGGGGCGTCGTGAGGGTTCAGTGCAACGTACAGGAAGTGGGGGTCAGCAGGTCCTCATACCACCCGATATCAGAATATCATGAGTCCTGAGTCCAAGTCCAGGTATAACTCCTGGGTAGGCATCTCTGGGCACATTCCTTTCCTGTGTCCAAGTCCCGGTTTCCTTAGCCTTCTCAACAGACCTTCACACTCCCCCCTTGTAGAAGAGGTGTTGGGAGCTGCCTAGCCTTGTTGGAGATGTCTCCTGTTCAGCTAGCCAAGAACCCACAGGGACCATGTCAGCCAGAATTGGCCCCTGAAGCTATACCATGCCCATGATAGCCCCTCATAGCCTGGGCATCACTCTCCCCCACTGCCAGGCTCGGTGCTGAGTCCCCATGCTGCCTCCATGTGCTCCACAGGGAGAGCCCTCCGGCTGGCCAGAAGACCCCAGACAGTGGACACGTCTCACAGGAGCCCAAATCAGAGAACTCTTCTACCCAGAGCTCCCCAGAGATGCCTACAACCAAGAACAGGTAGGGCTTTGGGCGTACCAGGCTAAGGAGAGGGGCTTATTCTTCTTGTCTCCATTGAGCGCTTTGGGAGGGCCACACCCCGACTGCACTCTGGAGTACAACATGGCCACACGCTGGGTACACATCCACCAGGAACTGCTGTCATGTGTAATGCCTAATAACCCATGTCTGGACAGAGAGAGGAGGGAAACGGGTGTAAGGAGGAATGACGGGTTAGTCTATTCTTAGTGGGTCTTCAGAGAAGACCTCTCCAGTGAATGACATTGGGCTTGAGAGTTGAGAATTGAGCCAGCCCTGCTAGGCCTGGCAGAGAGAAGAGGGTTCCAAGTAAGGAGCTGGCAAGTGCTAAGGCCTCAAGGCATGCCTGGTGGGTAGAAAGAAGTGTAACATGGAAGCTGAGTGAGTTGGGCTGGGCCTACTGGGTGGTGACATGAATGAGGTCAGAGAGTGACCAGAGACTGGTGCATGGCTTTGGAGGCTGTGTGAAAGCTTTGAATTAATGAGGATGCCTGGCATGGTAGTGTACACCTTTAATTCCAGCACTTGGGAAGGAGAGGCAGACAGATCTCTGTGAATTCAAGGCCGGCCTGGTCTACAAAGCAAGATCCAGGTTAGCCAGGGCTACATAGTGAGCCCTATTTCAAAACAAACAAAACTCCACATGCTGTGTGCTGTGGAGTGAGGCTGACCATGGGCTGGACTGGAGGCAGGGAGGCCTGAGGAGGTTACTCCTCCATTGGTCTGGATCCTATAAGGGGTTAAGAGGATTCATCAACAGTTAGGCCATTGGACAGGCACCAGGTGAAGCAGGTATATAGGACCTAAGGTGGCTGATTTTTGAAAGACAAATTTGCTTTTTGGAGTTTGAGAGAAAGAGTGGGACTTTGGGCAGAAGACACAAAGGCCTGAGTGGAGGAATTAAGAAAGATGGCTGTGGGGATACTGGGTCCAAACCCCTGTTCTACCTGGGATTGAATGCCACCCTCCCTGTGCCTCAATGTCTGTGAGATGGGCCCCAAATGACAGAATAGCTCAGGATACCAGTGAATGTTTACTAGATGAACCATTAAGCATAGGTGTTATTGGATACCAGGTCAAAGCCATTAGACTTTCCCTGGGGGCAAAGGGGAGCCATGAGAGAGTGTTGGGCAGGGGAGGGACCTGTTTAGATCTATGTATTAGGAAGGACAGTCGTAGGACTTCACCGGGAGTCCAGGGAGGCTCAGAGGCCCGAAGAGCTAGAACTGGGGCCACAAGATGCTTGGCTGGCTCCAGGATGAGTCTCCCAGGGGAGGGTGGGGGACAGGGAATGGGGGCACAGCCTGGGCTGCTGGCTAATGGCACTGTGTGTGGCAGAGCCGAGACAGCCGCCCAGAGAGCAGAAGTGCTGCAGGGCTTTTCCCGCTCCTCATCCAGCGCCAGCAGCTTTGCCAGTGTGGTGGAGGAGACAGAGGGTGTAGACGGGGATGACACAGGCCTGGTAAGATGCCCAAGGGGTCATGGGCCCCACAGAGCTGTGATGCTGGGTTCGTAGGTCTCTGGAGTGCTTTGGGCAGAGGCACAAGCCTGGCTGTAGCCAAAATGTTGGGAGGTGGGGTGTCCCAACTTAAAGGAGATGCAGATCCCTCCCGTGCTGACTCCCCAGTGCTGCCCACAGAGACCTCTGAAGACCCAGCACCCCTTACTTCCTCATCTCTCACCTTAGACACTCTGAGTTCTATAGTCCCTTACTGTCCCAGGCTTCCTCTACCCACATGCCATTTCTCCCTTTCTGCCTTCCCCTGCCCCCTCTACTGGCTGGACTGACTTACCCTCCCCTTTGTCTGTACTCTACCCTTAGCCATTCTTCAACACACCTCCAGGGGGGCACATGCTCCTGGCCTGGCCTGTAACTGGGCAGACACAGTGGAGCCACCTTCTAGTGTAGAGTGACAGGGCCCTTCGCAGCCTGGTGGGGCTTCTGAGACTTTCAAGTTCCTTGATGGCAGGGATCCGGCCTGATCCATCCCAGAGACCCAGACCAGGAGAACATCCAGAGATGTGTGTTGAGTGAATGAGGAATGGGGATAGGGTAGGGGCTGTGGGCGGGGCTGACCTTCCCCCCTTCCCCAGGAGAGCGTGTCGTCCTCAGGAACGCCCCATAAGCGGGACTCCTTCCTCTACAGCACGTGGCTGGATGACAGCGTGAGCACCACGAGTGGGGGCAGCTCCCCAGGTACCAGGCCAGCCTTGCTGGGTGGGAGAGGGCAGGGCACAGAGGGGTGGGGACCAGGCACATTCCCCAGGGTATGGGGATGTAATGTGACTGCCCCTCACAGGGGCAGTCGTCCAGGGAAAATGGATGGTTTTCAGAGGGCAATGAAGGGTAGCAGGAAGGTGAATTAAGCATGGGGGTCCCTAAGGGAGGGACCTGATGGGGGAGCCCTGGTGCCGACCGCCCATCAATGCCCGCGTCTCCTTGGTGCCTCCCCTCGGCCAGTGAGGTGGCTCCCTCCTGCCCCCCTTCCCAGGCCCCACACGGTCACCCCACCCAGACACCGGCAAGTCGGGGGACCCTGCATGTCCCGAGATCAAGATCCAACTGGAAGCATCTGAGCAGCACACACCCCAGCTGGTATGAGGGCAGTCCCCTGGGAGAGGGTCTAGTTGGTTGGGGACCAGAACCCAAGGATTAGGGGACCCTCCAATGGCCAGGATGTCCCTCTAGGCCAGGAGGATTTGGGCTTATCCAGTGACTTTGGCTTCCCTGCCCCTTCACTGTACCTGTCCTGTCTCTACCTCTGTGGTGTCTGTCCCCACAGGGCTGCTAGCTGCCACCCTACCTGGAAGGTGAGACTGAGCAGGTCAGTCAGCCCCTGCACACTCCTGCTGGGTGAAGAGGGGCTGAGAGCCCCTGAGCAGAGATGGAATCCCCTGCCTCAGTGGCTGGGGGCTTGGGCTGGTACTGGTTCCTCTTGACCTCAGTTTCCCTATCTGTGCAGTGGGCACTGTCTCACCTCTGCCCATGAGTTGGGGAACTTGATGGAGCCAAAAGGGGGCTGGCCAATCACTGGGCAGAGAGAGACCTGGGGATGCCCATGGGCTGGAGAGAGCCAGTGCCTGGCCCTCCCAGGCTGCTGTCCCCTTCTCTCAGTCTTCTCACCTCCCTCTCCCTGCAGATGAGGCCGCAGAAGCACAAGGAGATGCTGCACTTCACCCAGGCGGCTGGTGCTCTGCCCCATAGCCACCCCAGCCCCTGGTTCCCCTGCTTCCAATCCCCCTGGCCCACCCATTTGGGCTGTCTCCGCAGGGCGGAGCCATCCAGAGCTGGGAGCAGATGTCTGCTGCTACTGCCCCCCAGGCTTGGGGGTCTGGGTCTGGGCAGGGACTGTGGCCCTGGCTTGCTCCCACCTGGGCCTCTGTCACCCCTGGGTACTCCTCTGGAGTCAAGGTGGGAGGAAAATTAGGACTCAGTGCCCACAGCTCTCCTTGGAAGCAGCAGGTGCAGTGTGTGTGGCATGAGCACTGGGTGGGCAAGGCATTTCCCTTCTCTGGGTGTCTCTGCTATAAATGGACAAGATTGTGTGAAGACTGTGATTCCATGCACCTGCCCCAGAAGGGGTCTTCGTCCACCTAGGGACCTCCTGTCATGCCGACCAGCTTCCCGAGGCCCCACGTGGACTAAGGAGCTGGGGCTGCTGTACCCATCACCCCACCTGAACCCCCCCCCCCAGCTTTACCACAGATGTGCTGGTACCCTTAACTGCCTCCATTTGATAGCTGAGTGTTCCCATTGGGGAGAGGGGCCTCCCTGGCTCCTCACCTGGCACCCAGCTTAACCCTGCCACTCCACACTCCTGGGCACTCCTGGCTGAGGGGGGTCTCAGCTGACCTAGAATCCGGGCCTTGTCATCCTCTGTCAACCATTGCTATGGAGGGGGCCGCCAGGCATAGCTGCTGTGAGCCCATGTCCTTGTGTGTGTCTGTCCACACTTCAGGTGCCACACCAAGGCCAGCCTTCCAGTCCCACCACCCACTTTGGAAGCCCTGTGGCCATGTGTATGTCAGTAACAGTTGTACAAAATAAATTCTATTTATCGCTATTGTACCCGGAGTCCAGCCTGGCTTTGTGTGAACCCTGCTGTGACTCAGTTCAGACAGATGTCAGAGTACCCAAGATAAAGAGAACAGGCCTGTCTTCTTCAGGGCTGCTGGGTCTGGGGACACTTCCAAGACCAAGCCACAGGGTCTGTGAATACACTGGCTAAGGCTTCCTTCTTGTGGTCCTGCTCTCCCACACCCCTCTTGTTCCCTTCTCTGTTGAGAGAGAATGTGGCTTTGCAGTTCAGCCCTGGGACCATCTCTCCTTAGCTCCAGTGCTGATTCTGTAAAACAGGAGCAATGGGGGGGCTGGAGAGACAGCTCAGAAGCTAAGAGCACTGGCTGTTCTTGCAGAAGACCCGGGTTCAAATCCCAGCACCCACATGGTGGCTAACAGCCATCTATAACTCCAGTTCCAGGGGATCTGAGGCCCTCTTCTGTCCTCCATGGACACTGTACATCATGGGTACGCTAACACACGTGCAGACATAAAACTCATACACATAAAAAATTGGAGCAATAGGAACCTAAGACTTTCTCAGGGACTGTCTGTGAGTGCTCATTCAGTGAGCTGTTGCACACAGTCACAGGGCACACAGCATGTTCAAGGAACCCATCCCCTTCTCATGTCAGCCAATCCCAATGGTTTCCCTTATATGGCCACCAGGGGGCACCAGCAGATCACCCAGAGGGGCAGGGATGAATAGGTCAAAGTCCCCACCTCCACCAGGCTAAAGAATGCTGGGGTGGACCAACGCGGCAGAGGAGGGTCCCTGAGTGAGGGACCTTCATGTGCAAATGTGTGGAGGATGGAACGTGCTTTGAACTGGGAAGGGTCCAAACGGCCGGAAGGTGATAGAGGGGATAAGAAGATGGAAGGTAGTCAGAGGCCGCATGGCCTTGAATCCCAGGCCCATGCAGACAGTTGTTGGGAAGACACACAGAGAGAGGCATGGTGGCTGCTGCTGGAGGCTGGGTGGGCCTGATTGGCTGAGGGAGGAGGGGTCAAGGAGGCAAATACTGGGGACAGAAGGTAGCTGAAAGACCATGTCAGGCATAGTGACTGGATAGAGGGCTTGATGGACTGTGGAGCTGGTAGGAGGGAACAGGGGAGGCTCCTAGGAGTCAGCCTAGGCAACAGGTGGAAGAAAGGGCTCTTCTGGGATAGGGCCACAAGAAGAGCAGGTTCATGCTTGGGACACTGGGTTCAGAGGCAGACATCCAGTTGAACTCTAAGGGGGAAGTAGTGCTCCCTGGTAGCTTAGGACCCCTTCCCTCACTTCCCTCTTCTTTCCAGGACAATGCTGAGGGCACTCTGGGCTCTCTGGGCTATACCATGCCTTGCCTGGCAGGGTACTTCTGTGACCCTCAGGTACCTCAGGTCACCCAGGGACCATGACTCACGCCCAAAACCAGCCCTGCCCAGCTGGGTTTGGCTTCAGGCTGCCCTGGCTCAGTGGTCTTCCTCCTCAGTCACCCATCCCCCAGCAGGTCAGCACCCATGTTCTTCACCAGTCTAAGGCTCAAAGCCATAGCATTCAGCACAGAGATTCCTGGGCACTGGCTCAAAGTTTGTTCCCCTAATGAGTGTGGCTCTCTGGGCCTCCAATCCCACCTCTGCCCAGTCAGGATGCTGGCAGGTCCCTGCTATGAGACTTATTGAGTGGTGTCTTGGTACAGCTGGAGCTTTGGAGGGCTCAGACAATGGGGTATGTGGGTTGGGGCAGGGGGGCAGAGGTAGTTGATTCTGAACAAGAATAACCTTGAATATCCTTGTGACTAAACCTTCAGAGTGTAATGCTTCAGGGTGTAGTTGGCTCTGTGTCCAAAGGACACTGTCCCTGGGGTTGATCCCACGCAGAAGTGCAGACTGGAGGCTTTGGGACTGCATGATAGGCCTCAGTACCCGACTTTTGGGGTCACTATCTTTCCACAGCCCTTCACTCAGCTGTGCACCCACTCCCCCAGATTTATTCCAGAGCTGAGCTGGCTGGAGAAGAGGCAGGTGAGTACCAGGTGAACAGGCCCTGGCTGGGCTTCATTTCAGGAAGGAGTCTCTGGTATAGCCCAAGCCCTCACTCCAAAGCTCCAAGGTGGGGCCCATGAAAGCTAAGGATACATCTGGCCTCTGGGATCAAAGTGTCCAGGGCTGTTTCTCTTGTCTGTGTGCCAGTTCTGTGCCTGCTCTGGGTTCTGAGGTAGGGAGGGCGGGCCAGGACACCAACCCGAGGCTGGAATTAGGGCTAGGGTGGGGGGCACCAGCTCCGGGAAGCAAGAGGCTCTGGAAATAACCCTGGTGGTGGAAAGAGCAGTTTTTCCACAGGAGACAGTGAGGGTGCCTGGCATCCCCAGCTCGGGGCCGGGGGGGTGTCCAAGTGTCACCTGTGATACAGGACAACCCTGCCTCCAGTGCTGAACAGACTATCATACCGCTAAGGTGCCTTGCATGGAGCCTGGTGCAGAATCCACACCCAAAATGAGTGTCCCTCCCCATCCCACCTCACCCCCCATAGCTAGAGCGTCCCTGGACATCTACGGCCAACCCTGGGACAACTTTGCCAAAGAAGTGGCTGCAGGCCCAGGCTGGTCCAGTGCCAGGGGACTGGGACCTGGATGTTCTCTGCTGCTCAGGCCGCAGGGGGTGCTCAGCCAGGGACCCTGGAATGTGGAGGTCTGCCCTCCTTCCCTCCCTGCGCCTGCCCTACCAAGGGGACAACCCAGGACGGAGCCTCCTGAAATAACCAGATCTGGTTAGCAAGGCTAATTTTAAAAGCCTCTCTGGCTGCCCCATGGGCCCTTCTGGGAAGCCATGAATGTTCCTATGTGTGCTCCTGGGAGGGGCTCCCACTGGACTCCCACCCCTGCCTGCTAGTGCTAGATACCCCAAGCTTCCTCTCAAGGTCTGTGAGTCCAGGCTTCTTTCTGCCCCATGCACCCAGGCAAACCCAAGGAAACCCTCAGGGCCCTCCCCTGCTGCAGCTCTGAGCAGGCACATTAAACTTTCTGTCTTGGTTCCTGGGCCCTTTCCACCTGTCTTCTGCTGCTAGGTCCCCATGCCCCTTCATCACTATATCCTTGCCTCCATTTTTGACACTCCTGGGTCTGTCCTTTGCAGATTTGGCTCTGTCCATCTCAAGGCCCATCCCTCAGGAGACTGGATGCAGCACACCTGCCAGTCTTAGCCTTCACTGTGCAGGCCAGGTGGAAGGGGGTGTCCACCTGGAACTGAAGACAGCAGTCCTGGGCCTGACAGGAGCCAGGACCAGCATGCAGGGGCCAAGTCCAGGAACGACCTAGGCCATCTGGCCAGGCCAGGTGCCAGCAGGGGGAATGAGCTCCAGGGTGAGGGTTGGCAGACAGCAAACAGAAATATGCAGTGCCTAGTTAAATTTGAATGTCAGGTAAACATGGAATCATTTTTAGTTTAAGTATACCTCATGCAATATTTGAGACATACTTATAGCAAAAATGATTCCTGTTTACCTGACATTCACAGTGAACTGGACACCCTGTGTTTTATCTGGCACCTCTGTCCTAGTGGCCCTGAGAATGGGGGGAGGCCTCCCAGGGGCATTGGACTCTAGAGAATCAGTTGGTGATGGAGGCACTGTGTTTTCTACAGTGGAGTGAGTCCTTGGGAACATGGTAGGGTGTAGGAAATCAGGATGGCATGCCCTAGGGTGAGATAAGTCCAGGCTACGTTCTCTGCTAAAGGGAAGGGCACTGCAAACAGCAGCTCTGATATCCCTGTCTTGCAGAACACTGCAGGGCTAGCAAGAGAAAAGCGGCCAGGTCAAAAGTTTAGGCTCCTTGCTCTGTGAGAAAGCATTTTGGTCAACAGCCCTTAGCTCATCTCCCTGTCCTGAACAAATAATTCAGCTATCATTAGCTAAGAGGTTAGGCCAGGTTATAGGTTTACTGACTGAGCTAAAAGCTAAAAGTTTACCATTCTTTTAGTGCTAAGAAATAAAGCATTGTGGCCAATAATTACCAGATAGGCATTGGTAACCTTGAGTAAAAGTTTAAGCATCCTGCTGGTGCCAACCAAAAGGCTATATGTCCTGTTTCTTTGTACCCTAAATGTTTGTATATAAATATCAAACTCCACGTGCCTGCCATTTCCTTGTAATGAATAAAAACTCTCTGAATTTTGTAATAAATGACTTGTTGTGAAGGAAAGCACAAGTCCCTGAGTTGTTACTCTGTTGCCAATCCAGTCTCTTTGCTCCCTCCCCCCTTCGAAGCAGGGTTCCCTGATGAGCAAAGCAAACCTGAGTC